AATAATAAATTGATAAAATAAAATAACACAATAATATTCTCACGACGTTTCGGCCACAACACAAGCGGCCTTCATCAGGTGAAGGGGACGAGACTGTCTGGTGGACAGCGCTGGAGTGAGAAAGTCATGCTGAGATCACGACCTTTAAGCTGTGTGAGAAGAAACAAAGCGCCTTGACAAAGGAATTATTGTGTTATTTTATTTTATCAATTTATTATTTTATTCTCATTCTACGTGACTTTACCGAAAGAACCAAAGAAGATGAATCCTTGCAGTCACGAAAGCTTTAAATCGAAATTTAGGTGTTAAGATGTTCAAACGCAAAATAGAAACCTTTAACAGGGAATCATGTCTGCATTAACCACACGTACTTGTGGTGAACATGCAAGAAAACATGCTCTGATAATACAGAGTGCTTCAAAAAAATGTGAACACTTCTGAGGATTTGCAACAACGCCAGAAGAAATGTGCCGCTCTGGAGAGCACCTGTAGAAGATTCCAGGCAATGTGTTGACAACGATGGCGAACGAGTGGAGACTCTTTTCACTTTTTGAAGCTATTAACATTACATTTGCTATCATCTCATCCGCTATTTTCCCATTAAAAACGATAGTTCCATATAAGTGGTGACATTTTGTTAAGCACCCTGTATGCGCATTCTCTTCGAAACTAGTTGTCCTCCACCAAAAAGCCTCCTTTTGTTTGCCCAGTGTCAGACCAGAGAACACCAAGACGCGAACAGTATATAAACAATGCTAATATTCTCAGATCATGTTCACAAGTGCGTGTTGGTCAAAACCGACTTGGTTCCTCTCAAAATGTTTATATTTGGTGTTTGAACATCTTAACACAACTGTTCCATTTCCAGAAAGAGTAACACCGGTTATTCTTTCATACTTTGATACTGGCCAAAAAGGTCCCAAAGATAAAAATGTTAAAACACCACAAATATATTGGTGTAATTGTTAAATATAATGAAACATGTTATTCGGCCGAAATATGATGAACCAGAAGACATCAACAACAATGGACAATTACACAAATTGTTGGTATATGCAATGAAGGGAACACATACGTGTGTATACACACTATAAACTAAATAAGAGGGTGCTTCTAAAATGACTTTGGCTTAAATACAACAACAACCCATCGCACATGATGTGCTATGAAGCAAGCCCATTGCCCAAAACGTCTCCGATGTTTTAGTTCCTCTTTAAAGGCCGCGGATGCTGTCGCGGGTGTCCGAGTTACTTTGTTCAATGCGCTTTGCGCACCAACCCAGCAGCAGCAGCACCACCACCGAATAGTTTCGCTTCGATGGAGTGTCGTATTGAAATATAAAATGTAGCAGCCACTGATTGTCAAGTGAACGGTCACCCATACATTATAACAAAGTTAGGCAACAAGCCAATACAATAATTTAACTGTCATGCCCACCTTGACTTTGAACTCAGCTAAAAGTATACAAGCAGGAGTGCTCAATATGTAAGCCTTTGTTATCCTCGTTAAAAGCGATTACGAATACAAATATGCGCAGAATAGAGGCTTTAATCTCAAACAGCAAGCTGCTATATTATCCTATGCTGTTTGATAAATATTAAAAATATATTACTAACGTTTAAAGCATTTCTTTATTACTGCTTTGTGTTTAGTTTGATGTCCTTCACCCGCACCTTCGATTAGCACAGTTGACTACGTACGGTGCAAAAGGAAGTTCAACACTCATACACAACTTCAACACTCATAGACAACTTCAACACTCATAGACAACTTCAACACTCATAGACAAATTCAAAACTCGTACACAACTTCAACACTCATACACAACTTCAACACTCATACACAACTTCAACACTCATAGACAACTTCAACACTCATAGACAACTTCAACACTCATAGACAAATTCAAAACTCGTACACAACTTCAACACTCATACACAACTTCAACACTCATACACAACTTCAACACTCATACACAACTTCAACACTCACACACAACTTCAACACTCATAGACAACTTTAACACTCATACACAACTTTAACACTCATACACAACTTCAACACTCACACACAACTTCAACACTCACACACAACTTCAACACTCATAGACAACTTCAACACTCATAAACAACTTCAACACTCACACACAACTTCAACACTCATACACAACTTCAAAACTCATACACAACTTCAACACTCATAAACAACTTCAACACTCACACACAACTTCAACACTCACACACAACTTTAACACTCATACACAACTTCAACACTCACCATGTTACTCGTTAAGAGTTATCCCATCAGAAGGTCGTCACCCACTGTGGCTACTTTTACATCAAGGCTCAAGAACAATTTACACCAATTAGCCTTGTGATTTTATACGTACTATATTCTTGGTTCTTTCGGTAAAGTCTACGTGACTTAAATAAGAAAAAATATTTTATTGTTTCCCTTCTACGTGACTTTACCGAAAGAACCAAGAATATGAATCCCTGCAGTCACGAAAGCTTTAAATCAAAATGTATATTTATATTTACAGAGCGTCTTCACTCATGGCGCTTGACCTAGCTTATGGTTGTGTTTACTTATTTTATCCATTTAACCTTCCATTTAAGTATTTTTATGATTATTTTACAAGTGTTTTTAAATTAGTTTTTTTATATAGTTTTCTTAATTTGCGTCAAGTGTCTTGAACGTTGTGGTATGGAAGGCGTTCTATCAATAAATGTTACGTTATTAGAAAACTTGAAGTAACATTGAAATCTACTGCATACATTCTGCAACCAATGTGTAGCCTACTAGGAGGCCCCATTCTCAACTATTCCACCTTTTGCGCCAAGCAAATGCACTTTCAGAACTTCGCTCTTGTCCTCAATACATTATCGAACTCCTTCTATCCGTGACCCTATAACCTTGGCCTCACATTATCCACGGATTACCCAGCTGATATTAAGACCCTCGATATTCGTACCCCAACATGATCGCGTACAAGAATTATCCTGAACAAACCAATATTCAGGGTTCCCAAACGTTTCGCATCTTTACACAGGTTTCCGTCCAGGCCAGCGGTCTTCAACCGAAATAACAAGAAGAGACATTTGTTTAGAATTCAGTAAAACACATTTTTTTTTCTTTCCAGGAGCCGCAAATGCACTTGGTAAATACAAGGAGACGCGGTGTTCGTGAATAAACAACGCCGCGAAGCAGCGATTCATTAAAGAGTGGCAGAGTTTGCCGACCCCCATGGGCATGTGCCTGGGACAATTCACGCCATCACTTCCACACTTGGACAATGCAGCGGCTTTTATTATTCTTGTTGTTATTAACTCTAACTGTGAATGGTAGAGAGCACCTTGTGGTTGCACGGGACACACGAAGCCACGACACGTGCAACAATAAACATCCATTCGGTAAATGTATCGCGAGCTTAAGCAACGACATCAATCCGTAGCAATCGATTTTCAAAACACAAATACTGTTGTTGTACATTAAAACTGTTCACGTTTACAAACACAACGAAATGGTTTTTTTTACTGGCCACGATGTGTGGCGGCACTGCAGATTTGATTCTGCCTGTCGTGTTATAACAAAAGGGAATTTATAAGTCGTATTGTCGCCACCGCAAACATTGACACATTACTAACATTTCACACCAACCTCCGTATTGTATTTCAACAGTGGCACTCGGCTAACAGCAGTGACGACCGATACATCAACATCTCCTGCTTCCATGCCCCTCTCAACGTAACACATATAGTGGTGAAGTATGGCCCACACAACCCCCATGACCGACACGGCGTTACGGGAAGCCCTCGTACCACAGTAGATTGTTGACAATGGGCTTACAACAGCGCACTCTGATTGACAGATGTGTGTGTGACCTTCGGTCATGGTCAATCCACTGCTGGACGACGTCCTCCTCCCACGCTGCTTCATGCCCTGGGGCTTTTACTTGACCATACTTCACCAGGCTGGTGGTCAGTGCGGGTTGTTTAAGCTGGGGATCGTAGACGTGGACGCAGACTACAGTACAACTCTGGATCTTGCTGCACTGCCCACTGCTGCCCCACAACGTTATGTGTGCATGGTGATCAAGCATATACACAACTATCCAGACTAAAACCTGCTTAGCTTCCCAGATATACACCATTGTTGATCACATACAAATGTAGAGTGATCCATTTACTGACGCTCCGTCGAGTTCCAAAACGTTCACCCTTTGTTTCTCCATAATATTTAACATCGTGAAAGCAATGGCTCAATGTCTTACAGGCGAGGGTGTTAAAAGGTGTAGTAGTATAGCACAGTGCGTGCATTGAGATTAGTGGGATACAATGGAGAAAGGCTTGCACCTACAAAGTGTTCGATTCGTATGTTGGTAGAGTATCTATACATGGATCACCCACGTGTGTGTAGAGCGGCCGTGCAGCGACCGGTGACGATTATTTAAACCGATCCCTGTGCCTCCCCTAGGTCGACTCAGCATTAAATGAGTTACCTGGTGCGGTGCGCAAACATCTCCACTGGGGGGGAGACAAAGGCGGCCGGGCGTGGTACTGGTCGCCCACCCCCTCTGTGTGTGCCACAGTGCCGGTAGCCTTCACAGCTGCTGCTACTCACTACTCACAGCACTTTCCCCTACAGTCTGTTACAGGCTACACGGGAGGGGGGGGTGAGAGATCTTTGTCTATCTAGAGCACGCTATGCACGCTCTATAGGTGAAGAGAGAGGCCTGCTACTGACGACAGTGCACCATTTGGAACAACACACTCGACTAATCAGCGGAAACCTGCAAGCCTCATCCTCGTCGCGTGCGAACGACAAACAACCAACAACAACAACGGTGGTGGTGGTGCCAGGAGCTAGCAAAGCCCTTCCATGTTCCCTTCTCCTCCTCCCTCACGCGTGCCGCAATCCCTCTGCCATCGTCTCACTCGCCCGCTCCTTCTCCTCCTGCTTCTCCTTCTCCTCCTCCTGCTTCTTCTCCTCCTCCTCACCTTTGCGAACTTGTGCTGCAGGACGTGCATCTGTCCTTCCTTCGCTGCCTCGTCCATTGCTTTGGTGGTAGGAAGCTTCGTCTCGACTCCCCGGCGCTGCTTTGCTTCGACAGGGGGGAGGGAGGGATCGTCTTCAACTATCCACACACCCCTAGTCGTGTGTGTGTGAGCGAGAGAGTGTGTGTGAGAGAGTGTGTGTAAGAGAGTGTGTGTAATAGTGTGTGAGTGTAACAGTGTGTGCGTGTGTGTAACAGTGCGTGCGTGTGTGTAAAAGTGCGTGTGTATGTGTAAGAGTGCGTGCGTGTGTGAGTGTGTGTGTAATAGTGTGTGTGAGAGTGTGTGTATGTAATAGTGTGTGTAATAGTGTGTGTGTGTAAGAGTGTGAGAGTGTGCGTGTGTAATAGTGTGTGTGTGTAAGAGGGCGTGTGTAACAGTGTGTGCGTGTGTGTAAGAGTGTGCGTGTAAGAGTGCGTGCGTGTGTAATAGTGTGTGTGTGAGAGTGTGTGTGTGTGTGAGAGTGTGTGTGTGTAACAGTGTGTGTGTAACAGTGTGTGTGTGTAAGGGAGTGTGAGAGGAGTCGTGTTATTAGCACGGGGAGAGTTGGAGAGAGAGATGTTGGAGAGATTTTCCAAGCCACACGATTCACCGGCGTTGTTGTACCAATGGCTTGCGACACCCACGCCTCGAGCGTCAAAGTGCACCAGGGATGGGGTCAGCCCACTTTTTAGCCCTCTCCACCATGCGACGACGCAACCACCGATGGTTGCAGGGAACTTGTGCGACTAAAAATAGCCAGACTCTAGCCCACGACTATATTTAGCCCGGGTCAGTTCACTCAGCCATTCGAGCAAAAAAAATGTAACTATGCGTGAATAATTAATGTCAGTGTGTAATTACTTCGTCCGATGTTAATTGCTGGTGTTTCGGGTTTATTTACAAGCATATACGACAGGTACACAATCGATGATGATAATGCTGCTATTGCTGCTGTTGTGGTTGTTAATGATTACGCAGGCTGGACCCTGTAGCCTGTTGTGTTGGAGATCCCTCTTGTGGAAGCCCCTTCGCCAGCAGAGGGGTTAGCGAGCTTGTTGCAAGAGCTGTACCTTCAACATTGTTACTTCAAGTTACAAGTCGGAAAGTGATTTCATACACACATAAGCATTGACATTATGTTTATCTGTTGTTTATCGCCCTGAGCCAATGCTATATGGCGGGAACTGTTAACAAAACTCGTGTGGACTACGGATTGCAAAACATTGCAAAGTTGCCTTTAGCAAAGTCTCTCAGCTTCCATCGATTTAAACTCTGTCAGAAGGACTTCCGTGTGTGAACTGGTTTTGCAAGAACAACGTACTGTAGGTCAGCGAACATCTCAATATCTCCGTCTTTCCACACACATTACATAACCCATTGGCGTGGCCACGTTCCTTTTGGGAGTAACATCATTTCATCAGCATTTGATTCAAAACAAGAACTCTAACTCTGGACTTAAATCAATCCAATATTTGTAACGTGGCATATTCAGCAAAAAGCTGAGATGGAAGCGAAGGCGGTACAGATATTTTATTTTACTAGACTAGGGCCAGGCTTGATTCATTCAATGCTGGTGAACTACCAAATGTTACGGACAAGGACCACCCCTTCAAGATATGTTTCCCAGTTCTAAGCTAAATTATAAAATACAGAACTCAAAATAGTAATTGGTGTCGTTGTGGAGGCTATAAGTGGATTCAAAAGAACAAATACAAAAGAGAGTGCATTTACATTGATGAATAATACACTTAAGCAACGATGGCTGGGTTCCTCAGTTACTTGAAAAACACCGCACATTTTGCATTTGAACACAAGTGTTATAACATTTAGAAGAACATGTGTGCACCTGAAGGGTTCACATTGTATTGTAACAGAGCTGTACTTTAAGCACGAGGTGTAGTGGTTAGTGCGGTCATGAACGCTTCGGTATGACACTAAGAACATTTTCCTTCGTGGTTTTGTTGGCGGATTTTCGTACATTGTAGCCCAACTCACTCGTAAGTAGTATTAAAAAAAACACATCAAAGTTGTAAAACCCATTGCAAACAAGCTGAAATTTTAATTACAGTACTTATTTTTATGGAATACACTGTAGAGATGAAGGAACAAATATAATTAGCTCAATTTTATTTTCCTGCATCTGCTGGGGACATCAGTCGGTTAATTACCCCATACAGTCATACACTGTATCGCAACAATTTCAAATATGCAACTTAATACACTTATTTTCTTTGGTCTACGCGACTTTACCGAAACACCCAAAGTATATATGACTTCCTGCAGTCACGAAAGCTTTAAGTCAAGATTTCATACTCTTATTTCCTCTGCCTGCTTGAACATTTTTGTAATGTATGTATGGGTTTCACCGATTATAAGCTCGGTTATATATGACAGTGATATGATCAAACTTAGCGACAAATCTCATGTACTCCCACTTTTCAATACTGTACTGTGTTTACTTGGCCTCCGTTCACGCATGTTTTCCATCCATAGACCTCTCAGTGCAGCTCTGTGGGGTTGTTTAAAGCATCAAAGCGTGAGAAATGTCCCAGTTGAACCACATGCCAAGGGAAGAGGAAGCAACTGAGAGTTGGCGATACAATCTTAAAAACACGTGCAATTGTGAAATGAATTATCGTTCGCGCCGTTGGCAAAACCTATGACCTTCACCACATGAAAAAGGTGTTTATAGATCTTTCAGCAGGCCTTGTTGTGTACCTGGGAGAGGGATTACGAGGCCATATGGTCCCCGTTATCGCAGTACCCAGTACGAATAACCGGTGAAATGGGGGCTAGGGAGATGGCATGGACTCTGGACACGATGCCACCATCAGTAACACGTGGCAACCGTTTCTCCTGGGAGATGATTTAAGACTGACACACTTGGGACATCGCCTTGATGTTATTTCGCATTTCCGTCCCTCCCCCGTTAAACACACTGCTCCCGCCGATCATCACCCCGACCACGGCGAGACAGATGCCCTCATTAATTCCCTACTTTAGATGGTGGTGGTGCATTACGCCTGGGCTCTTATACGTTGAATATTGTTCCTCCCTCATTTTGATATTCTCCACAATATTCTGGGTGCTTGAAAGGCGATAAAAAAAAAATGCTTACAAAAATACAACATGCAAACCACTGCAAGCATTGACATATACTACTGTATATCCTCTATGCAGAGTATAGAGATGAGGCACATCTCAGCTTTAAAATATGTCCATGTAGTTGTTTTGCTCTCCCACACACCAGGTTAACATCAACCCATTAAATTATACCTCCAGAATACAATCTCCATTTCCCTCAAAATTGTACATTTTCCACAGAAATCTACCTTCAAGTCTATGCTGATTGCTCAATACAAAATCAAAGAGCCTTTGATACATTCCAATAGTTGTCCCAACCGAGTTAATCTTAAACCACAAATTTGTTGCTTTTTAGTTTCCGTTTTGACTGGCTCATCCAATGACACGTGTTGGCTGTATGGCGTTCTCTTGGCGAGCCAGGCGATGCCACATCGCCGCCCACATTTGTGAGTTTCACATTTGTGTGTGATCTACCAAGAGTAACAATGAAAGCTCCCGTGATGATCCGCAAGCACGATGTCCAGTTGGGCATGGGATGAGTCGATAATGGCAGAACGGTTCTCGGCGATCGAATACGCCGGGGTATGGCCGATGCCCCAGAGCACGGAAGCATCTGCTCCCCAGCTCGTATTAAGAGATCCACCCTTGTCTTGGTTTGAACGTATTAAGAGATTCACCCTTGTCTTGGTTTGAACGTATTAAGAGATTCACCCTTGTCTTGGTTTGAACGTATTAAGAGATTCACCCTTGTCTTGGTTTGAACGTATTAAGAGATTCACCCTTGTCTTGGTTTGAACGTATTAAGAGATTCACCCTTGTCTTGGTTTGAACGTATTAAGAGATTCACCCTTGTCTTGGTTTGAACGTATTAAGAGATTCACCCTTGTCTTGGTTTGAACGTATTAAGAGATTCACCCTTGTCTTGGTTTGAACGTATTAAGAGATTCACCCTTGTCTTGGTTTGAACGTATTAAGAGATTCACCCTTGTCTTGGTTTGAACGTATTAAGAGATTCACCCTTGTCTTGGTTTGAACGTATTAAGAGATTCACCCTTGTCTTGGTTTGAACGTATTAAGAGATTCACCCTTGTCTTGGTTTGAACGTATTAAGAGATTCACCCTTGTCTTGGTTTGAACGTATTAAGAGATTCACCCTTGTCTTGGTTTGAACGTATTAAGAGATTCACCCTTGTCTTGGTTTGAACGTATTAAGAGATCCACCCTTGTCTTGGTTTGAACGTATTAAGAGATTCACCCTTGTCTTGGTTTGAACGTATTAAGAGATTCACCCTTGTCTTGGTTTGAACGTATTAAGAGATTCACCCTTGTCTTGGTTTGAACGTATTAAGAGATTCACCCTTGTCTTGGTTTGAACGTATTAAGAGATCCACCCTTGTCTTGGCTTGAACGTATTAAGAGATTCACCCTTGTCTTGGTTTGAACGTATTAAGAGATCCACCCTTGTCTTGGTTTGAACGTATTAAGAGATCCACCCTTGTCTTGGCTTGAACGTATTAAGAGATTCACCCTTGTCTTGGTTTGAACGTATTAAGAGATTCACCCTTGTCTTGGCTTGAACGTATTAAGAGATTCACCCTTGTCTTGGTTTGAACGTATTAAGAGATCCACCCTTGTCTTGGTTTGAACGTATTAAGAGATTCACCCTTGTCTTGGTTTGAACGTATTAAGAGATTCACCCTTGTCTTGGTTTGAACGTATTAAGAGATCCACCCTTGTCTTGGTTTGAACGTATTAAGAGATCCACCCTTGTCTTGGTTTGAACGTATTAAGAGATCCACCCTTGTCTTGGCTTGAACGTATTAAGAGATTCACCCTTGTCTTGGTTTGAACGTATTAAGAGATCCACCCTTGTCTTGGTTTGAACGTATTAAGAGATTCACCCTTGTCTTGGTTTGAACGTATTAAGAGATTCACCCTTGTCTTGGTTTGAACGTATTAAGAGATCCACCCTTGTCTTGGCTTGAACGTATTAAGAGATTCACCCTTGTCTTGGTTTGAACGTATTAAGAGATTCACCCTTGTCTTGGTTTGAACGTATTAAGAGATTCACCCTTGTCTTGGTTTGAACGTATTAAGAGATTCACCCTTGTCTTGGTTTGAACGTATTAAGAGATCCACCCTTGTCTTGGCTTGAACGTATTAAGAGATTCACCCTTGTCTTGGTTTGAACGTATTAAGAGATTCACCCTTGTCTTGGTTTGAACGTATTAAGAGATTCACCCTTGTCTTGGTTTGAACGTATTAAGAGAATCACCCTTGTCTTGGTTTGAACGTATTAAGAGATTCACCCTTGTCTTGGTTTGAACGTATTAAGAGATTCACCCTTGTCTTGGTTTGAACGTATTAAGAGATTCACCCTTGTCTTGGTTTGAACGTATTAAGAGATTCACCCTTGTCTTGGTTTGAACGTATTAAGAGATTCACCCTTGTCTTGGTTTGAACGTATTAAGAGATTCACCCTTGTCTTGGTTTGAACGTATTAAGAGATTCACCCTTGTCTTGGTTTGAACGTATTAAGAGATCCACCCTTGTCTTGGTTTGAACGTATTAAGAGATCCACCCTTGTCTTGGTTTGAACGTATTAAGAGATCCACCCTTGTCTTGGTTTGAACGTATTAAGAGATTCACCCTTGTCTTGGTTTGAACGTATTAAGAGATTCACCCTTGTCTTGGTTTGAACGGCAAACTTGTTTCGGGTGTTCATGCAAAGTCGCTGTGTGGAGAAGTGTCACGCCAAAGTAGGCCGACCTCAGGTCATGTCGCATCTTTTCGCCACACACCAGACACGACCTCATGCCACTCTCCATACCTCATGCCACTCACCGCACACTATTGACAACTCACCTCACACCGCTCACCAGACGCCATCTACCGCTCACCTGACACTATAAATTCACCGACACACCACTCACCAGAAGCGGTTTAATCATGAGACACTTAACACTCACCTGTGGAAAACAGAATGTCGGTCAGTTTGATGGATTAAAGCCACCACAACTCACCTGAAACTCACTCCCCATTCACGCTTGCCACTCACAACGCTCTCACCAGACCACAAACCCAATACTCACCTCTTACTGGCAATGTCTGTGCCAGAAGGCACCTTTGTGCAACTTCACGTTGGTGGGTGGCGGACCACTAATTGCGCTTAGCAGACCGTAACTTTTATTGCAACACCAGCCAAGTAATCTTTGCTCAGTACTAATTATGTTCAACGCACACAGGTCCTTTGTCAATCCACTGCCGAATGAGGGCCTCCTCACCACACATTGTGAGTCATAGTGGTTATTGGAGCACACGGGGTTCGTGAAAGCGGCCGGGAGCATAGAAGTACTGTACAATACACGATAAAATTAGTTTTCACTGCAATGCCCTCTGCTGGCCACGGCAATGATAATTACACTGTGTAACAAAAACATTCCTGGGTAGTAAGTGTTATTTTCTAATTTCTTATGCCTCAAAAGTACAGAAAATGGATATTATTCCCCACAAACTTTGCTTTTGTGACCAGGACAGTGATATTTCAAAATGTACATATTGTCAATGAGAAAACGTGGTGTGCATTTGTGTCATTCCTTCACGTAAAGTCCTGGTCACAAAAGCAAAGTTTGTGGGGAATGATAGCCATTTGCTATACTTTTGAGGCATAAGCAATTAGAAAATAACACTTAATACCTAGGAACAAAAATCGTGTTACATTGTATTATCATTGCCGTGGTCAGCAGAGGACAGAAGGCATTGCAATTCGTTTCAAACTGATTATAATCAATCTTGATTATATTCAAGATTGATTATAATCAGTCAGATGTATTCGTTTCACATCGGCCCACGTTCCTTGTCGGTGGACATCAGTGATGCTGCACCAACAATGGGCACTTTAATACGCAGGAGACTTTTGCGACGAATATCCACAATACAGGTTTTTTGGGTTAGATCGTGTAAATATAAATGTGTTATTAAATCCGCCACCACCCGACACAACCAATTAGTAATGTTTGTCATGTAAACATTTACAATCCGATTGTAAATGGCGTGGATTTGCTCTCCAACACACCGGCGTGCTGCACTAGTAACGAATTGTCACGTTTTGTTTACGTGACAAACCTTACTAGTTGGCTGTGTCGGGTGGTGGCGGGCCTAACGACACAACATTTATATATTTACACGATCTAACCCCCCCTCCCCCCCTGTATTCTGGACCAATAAGTCACGATTCCATTCCACCTCGACGCGATTTTAATTGTCGTGGAGGCCTCGTCTGCTCCGTTGTCAACAGGGGGCACTACAACACATCCCACCGTGCCCCCCACAACTACAACACATCCCACCGTGCCCCCCACCGCACTGACCAGCGTGGTGAAGTATGGTGAACACGACTCGTGGGTAATGAGACGACAGACATCCTTTTAGTTATTAGATTTCACTAGTCGAACCGATAATCAGTGACAAAAATATATAAACCCCCAATATATCCCCATTCGTGTATTAATTTATGTTACGTATATACCCCACGATGTGAATTATAATAGAGCATTGCGTTAGGATAATCGGAATAGGCAATTCATCATCAGCCGTGGTCGATCCACTGCTGGATGAAGGCTTCCGCCCCATGCTGCTGCCAGTCCTGTACAGCATGGTCCAGATGTCGTGTGACCCCAATTTAATTATCTAAAACTTTATATTTGTTACGTAAGGTTTATTTACAACAGAAATAATGTTTCAATGGAAAAATTATCTAGGGGTCCATTAATTGGACGGTCACAAGACATATGGACCACACTTGTACATCAATCCATTCCTCCAGTGTTAAACTACACGCAGCTTTATTTCATTTATTAAAATGTTTTTTACAGTCGTTCACGAGTATCATGGCAAGCGTGCCGCGCATGAACTTACAGTACTCTATACACATTGAAACGTCTAGAGGTTCCACTCGTGAAGACGAAACGACAGACCGCCATGTTACGCAGGGAAAACCTCTGCATTAGCTGGGTGCAGATGAAGCTGCCGCTGGGGTGGCGCTACGAGAGACCAATTTCCTCTTGCGTTACTCCCCTCCTAAGATGTCGCAGCTGTGCTCGTGTCGCGTTGTCCCGCACGTCACCTGCTCCACGCTGCTGTGTGTTGAGTGCCGAGGGGAGGCGGCACATTTTTGGTGTAACCGCGATCTCTACAACTCGCTCCGCGCATTCAAAAGCGAGCAAGGGTGTCGGAACGGACGCTCGCTTAGCCGATCGAAGGAACCATTGGATTGGCATGAATGAGTAAATGAGAACACAACGTTGATCACATTCGTTACTTTGGTTAAACGACGAGCCCGGCGTGTCAGCAAGTCAGTCGGATCCATTCATTCATTTAAACTGCCCGTCCGCGGACGCGTGGACGATGTCAATATCGGGGAGCGCTTACACAGGAGACCACCACCATCAGACCGCCAGTCCATTCGGTAAGCGTCCATATTTGGCCGTGCCAGGCAATGCCGAGGACTTGCTGGAGGAGGAGGACGAGGTGACCGGGACTCGGGGGACTTCTGAAGGCCCGGAGCACGACCGCCTCACGGTCCCGTCTCCTCCATCACCGACCCCAACCACGACCCCCGAGGCTCCGCCTGCCACCGGCTTGTCTTCTCGCCGCTGGCTGGTGCTGTTCGTCTTCAGCACGTACTCGCTGGCCAACGCCTTCCAGTGGATCGAGTACAGCATCGTGAGCAACATCTTCGCGCGCTACTACGACGTGAGCCTGATGGCTGTGGACTGGCTGTCGATGGTCTACATGTTGCTGTACGTGCCGCTCATCTTCCCCGTGACGTGGATGCTGGACCTCAAGGGCCTTCGCCTCATCGCCGTGGTCGGCTCGGCCCTCAACTGCGTCGGGGCCTGGTTGAAGCTGGCCAGCGTGAGGCCAGACCACGCGGGATTCGGGATCACCATGCTGGCGCAGGCCGTGTGCTCCGTGGGCCAGGTCTTCATCCTGGGCATGCCTTCACGCATCGCGTCCGTGTGGTTCGGCCCCAGGGAGGTCTCCACCGCCTGTGCCGTAGCCGTCTTTGGCAACCAGGTGCTGCAGTGTACATTGCTGTGCCGGTCCTGTGCGCCGTGTGTGCCGTAATCTCATCATATCAGCGTGCTCTCGGCCACCAAATTCACGCATGTAATAATATCTCTGCCACTAGCCATATTCTGAATTCGATATCATAAATTGGGCCGCCTCCCACGGTTTTGGAGATTTTAAGATGCCAATTCAACGGGATTAAATTCTCAAAAAGCCCGGACCCTGCCCCCCTAACGACTGGCTGTGAAGCGGCGAGTTATTTTCAGGAACTCAGTGCCTGGACAGTTCCGCCTGAAATGAAGCCCTGACCTGAGACATTGCAAGAAAGCCTTTATCCAAAATGTTGATTGATCATGGCTCATGGTGATTCACATGGAGGCGTATTCCATCCCAGTTAGCTGTGAAAACTCCCAGTTGCTCCTTTTGAAACATTTTTACCTGGCCCATTTTTATCATACATTTTGCCAGGGCCATATTTTGAGCCTCGCCCATCAATTTATAACCACAATTTCCTCCTACATGATTGGATTCTGAATCTGCAACATTCACAATTGCGTATCATTGTCTGCCAATGCTCTAGCTTGACCCCCCCCCCCCCTCCCTATAGGTGCGCGTAGGTTCGCCTGACGCACCCCCCCCCCCCCCCCCCCCGCGAATCCTATAGAACGGCCGATATTTAATCCACGCAGAAACGATCAAGGATCAATAATATTAACGTCTTTAAGGAAACAGTCCACCGCCGGCTGCATTATTATTCTCGAGGCTTCACCCCCCCCCCGTTTCCTATGTGTACATGCATTGTCAGTAGACCCCCCATACGCAAGCGAACACATTTGGGTTAACCCCCCTCCATGCGTACGTACTTAAAGGATGGACGCACAATACACGTGTGTGTGTGTTTTAAGACTGCGAAAAAAGCGGACTAAACTGTAATGGTTATTAGGTTTCCTTCAATGTAACTGTATCAGCTCTCATTGTGTGATAGAAATATTAATTTAATATCATTATGGTTACCATTGTTAATTAGAAATGCGTAAACTATAATGCGAACATTGTGTTGTAAAAAGGGTGAAAGGGAGGGAGAGAAACGTATATGCACAAGAATAAACTCAAGAATGAAAAAAAAACCTCTTACATCAACCCTGAATGAGTGTGGAGCGCATGCGTGATGACAATTCAAGTAGGGAATAAGAACACTTCAATTACCTCTTGGGATCGATCCATCAACGAACAAGCAGTGAAAAAGTGATGCTATTATATGTCAGCATTTCATCATTTCACCTGCATTTTCGCAATATTCCATACAAACCCAAAGAAGTTAGGAAAAATCATTGCACACGTGGATATTCGTGTTGTTTGACCATCTGGAATAATCTGCAGCTGCACTCGTGAAAATTCATAGCGACCCTTTGAGTACTTTCTACAAATGAGGTTACAATAATTGTGGAGAACCCATAGGGACTCTTAATATAAGGCCATTTGGTATTTGTGTCATTCTTACAGTACAAAGGCTATCATGGGGTTGTTATAATTATGTTTTGTAAGCTTTACAGTACATTTCCGTCTTGAGTCAACCAGTGTGCATTTTACAGTTGCAGTCAACATTGATAAATTCAGAGACTTATAGTACGTTCTACAGACAGTTACCTTAAGTAGTTAAATATTAAGTCATTCATTTAACTGTGTTATGTAATGAAAAGCAAATGCAGGGCTGCACATTTAACTTTTTATATTCCTGAACTGTGTCGGGTTCCCCGAGTCGATGTAGCTTTCTGGGTTGAATGTCAAATCTGTCTCTGGCTTCTCTCCACAGCTTGGGGTGGCCATTGGTTTCCTGGTTCCACCCCAGGTGATTCCAAACGTGGAGGTGGCCTCACTTGGCTACTACATCAACATTCTCTTCTATGGCACAGCTGGGGTTTCCACACTACTTTTCCTGCTCGTTTTGCTCGGTAAGGTCTATTCTTGTGAATGTGAAATTTGACTGACGGCGATCCACCAGTGTGTGCTGGATACACTGGTGTCGCGCTGCGTCAGGCTGGGAGTTAACTACTGGACCTTGATGTTTTGGATAGCATGTATATGTACAGCCTCTTCGACAGTCCACTACTGGATCGGCTTTCCCCACGTTGTGCAGGCCGTAGAGGATGTTTGTTCATACTTCACCACGCTCGGTAGTGCAAGTTGGTGAAGGTACAGAACAACAGTGGATGTTGCAGCACTGCTCTCTGCTACCCACAATGCCTACTGCACCTGATTTTGTACAGAGTGGTTACCCATCCAAGCACTCTCCAGACTCAAAAAATCCTGCTGAGCTTCCGAGGTCTGACAGCACACTCCGGGTGATTTGGTGATCTGCGTTTTTGGATGACAACAAAACGAATGATCAATTACAACGCCTCTCCAATGTTTATCCTCCCAGTAAAATATAAAAGTATTAATATTGTCTCGGTTTTAACATGGCATCTTCAGATATGATAATGTACCTGTTCAAGGAGCACAAGCCTGGATGGAGTATTTTACAATGAGCTTGCACTTACCGGAGTCTGCCTTTCTTGAATGGCAAGCGGCTAGACCTCATCACCCTTCCTACATGCAGATTTTCAGCATACAGATCTTATCAAGTAACTAGCCTTTTGCCCGTCCTAGGATGGAAGCTGTAATATTAAAAATGTACATTTACGTTTTCTTGTGTGATTGTACATTTTTTTTAGGAATTGTTGCACGTAAATACATTTTTAATAACTTTTCAAATGAACTTAAGGCCTTTGGAAGATTTCTCAGTGTGTGTCTCTTATTTCTAGATTAGAAGCTTTCATGACTGCAATGATCCATACTCTTATTTATTTTTACCTACGTTACTTTACCGAAAGAACCAGAGAGTATGAATCTCTTATCACTGTTCAAAAGGTTTCCCTGCAGTTGACTATCCTTGATGAACACTTTGATCCGCTGAGGATTTTTGGATTTAGACAGAGCCACGTGCAACTGTCCATGGGAAGACTTACCTTTTGTTGCAAGTGCTGAATAAATAAATAAAGACACCAAATACACTTTGTTGCAGCGTAGAATTTTTTATTTGATTAACTTTCAATAAAGAAACGTCAAATTGAAAGCAAATTTGCTTTAGAAAAATTCCGCTCGACCTGTGGGAGTGTAAAAATCCACCCGCTCATGATTATTAATGGGGGGGGGGGGGGCTCTTTTGCAGTGACGTCACGTACGGATGTAGCACTGTGCTGCGTAGATTAATTGTTGACCGTCACTTTCTGTAAAGAAACGTCGACATATTTAAAGCGACTTTGCAAAAATAAATATATTTCTGCTCGACCTTCCGCATGAGTGTAGCAATCCACCCGCTCATGATTATTTTATTATTAATGATATGTGGGGGGGGGGGGGTGCGGCATGTGTAGTGACGCAGTGTGTGGGACACATTTCTGGGCTATTATTGTAGTAATGATAGACTATTCATACATTTAAAGTAATGTTCCGGCGATGGGGTTTTCAACAAGTTTACATTTATATTGTTGTGGTTGTTAGGTTTTTAGTGGGTTGAAAGGTGGCGCAGTGGTTAGCGTGCTACGCTGTGGACCCTGGGCGACCCAATTGCAATATGCAGCCACAGCTCACACCACTGCCTCGTGGTATCTAAACTGGACCCGGGCTCACAGACTTCACCGATCCGCAATGTCCAGTCTGGTAAAGTATGGTCAAACAACCCCTGTGACCGTGACGGCGCATGGAGGATTGACTAAAAAGTCCTCAAAATGTAACTCAATCATAAATTTTTAATGGAAATGGTAGAAAACATTTAAACAAAAGCCCTTTCTACATAACGAGTTCAATAAGTTCAGCCCGACCTTTTTGTGCAGTGTAGTTTCAGCTTCCTGTTTGCTTTGCATTATTGATCATCAGCAGCAGCAGACAGTCTGGGGTTAAATAGCCTTGCGACATGTACAGCTCCTTTTGTCAGTCAACTGCTGGATGATGATCTCCTGCAGCCCGTGCCGGTCATGGTGGTTATTTGACCATACTTCATCGCGTTAGTCAGTGCAGGTTGGTGAAGGTGGGGAGCACAGACAGATGCATTGAAGTGCAGTACAACAATGGATATTGCTGCATTGCCAGCCACATAGCTCCACAGCCTAGAACAGTCTGCTGGGCATGGTGTTCACCCATCCAAGTACTCGGGATTTGAGATAAAATACATTCCTGCTAATTTGGTCAAACAAATGTTCTTTGTCGATAAAGCGATGAATGATTTAATGCAATGTACAGTATATGCTTTGCCTTTATAAATGTATAATAAACATGGTTGACAATGTATATATTGTAGGGGTAGACCTTTACGACCAGGTAAGTACCTTGTCATTCACCCATCATCCATCAAGATGTGAATTAGACTTACCCATGTTAACAAAAAATACTGTGTTATTTACATCCTCAGGTCACCTAAAGGGTTAAACAAATGAGAGGGACATGGCAACCCTAAGTGATGGGGGAAAAAACGTCACTTTGGCAAAAGTATGGCAAATAATCATCTCGAGTGCCTTGTGACTGGCTAGCCTTCTGTTGGCACGGTCACCTGCAGATTAGAAGGGTCTTAGTGTGTTGTGAGCGGATTTTTCATCCCATGACCCGGATTACAGCAACTTAAGGGAAGCATTTGTGCCAGTTGCATTTCAATTTTTTTTAGCAAACTATTCAAAAAACTGAACAATACTGCACAATATTGTAGAGTAAATCCGTTCCAGCGTAAGCCCTACAGCAACAGCATATTACAGTTGTCGTGAGCCGTATAAGAAAGTGATGTACCTCTAACTCTTCTCTAGGGGTACGGCAGGAGAGCGATGGTGCTGCTCTTGCGCCAGCTCCCCCAGTGCGCTCTCGGCTCGTGTCAGTTATTGTTCGGCGCGGTGTCTGACGTTCCGCTGTGCGTGCTGCGAACAAACCTTCGGAGATCATTCACAAAAAAAACTCGGCGGAGAGCGCATCTCTCGGAAAACGTATATTTTAGAGCAAATGTTTATTTGCCCAGCACTACCCTGGCCCTGAGTGAGGAGCCAAGGAGATGGCATGCATGGAGTGTCGCAAAGAGGGAAGCAATAGCAGGGCTGGTTTTTACTCGTGGATAAGGGAAGGAAGTGCGGGTTGGTACGAGTGGCAGGGTGCTGTCGCTTTATTGTGACTGGAAGCTTCAATTACAGTACAGTGCGGACGTATAAAAGCGCCTGTATATTTGACTGCATCTCAAGATGATTTTCAAATAAAATGACGTGCACTGAGATATGATGAATGAGGGATCATACTTTCTATGATGTTATTAGACAACGTCATAACCTATAAAGTAATACGACTACATTTTTGCATTATGCTAGGGCAATGTTAGGTCCCATTAGTGACTGAAATGATCTTATTATTAAATAACATTGGCTTTGTGATTTTAGCTCTCCGATGTGTTTTCAGTATTATCTGTGTGCTGGGAGTATGCAGAGCAACACATTGTACATGATACGCAATACAACCCGAAAACACACTGGAGAGCTATACAGCACACCACAAAAACCTACACAGTAGTGTGTATACATGTCGATGAATCACTGACATCATCTGGATAAAGTGTTTCTTTATGAATGTATTTTATTACCAATCTCAAGGCAACCATTACCACACAAAATAAGCAGCCATACTCCCGTTACAAAATACATCAGCGATCGGGATGTCTTCCAGACGGTTGTGAATAATCCTAAATCAGGCCTAGAGTCCAAATTCGTGACGATCCGAATAAATCATTTGTTTCAGATTTATCCAAATATGATGTCACAGGAAGTGAAGGTTACTTGCATGACATCACGTTGCTCTTTTCTCACTGAAAGTGGTGTCACCTGGCACTTTGGTTGGCATGAATACATTTCTGGGAAAATGATCGAGAATCGCCCTTAAAATCACGAATTTAGTCCTCTAATCATCGAGCATGATGGACAAAATATTCTGGAAACTTCTCCCGACTGACTATATTTTAATGGTTAAGTGGGTGGCGAACAGCTGTTTGTAATAAAAGTACAACAAACAACATGCGGCAAGGCCGAGTGTATATTTGGTGACATGCCAAATGTCATTGGGTAATAATGGACACTACCCATGGTCTTTCCACTCCACACCAGTAGCCTGGCTTCCTGTTTCCCTGAACATTACATTATATTCGGGTAAAAAAACACAACTTTTAAGTTGCCTCAGAGAATTAAGATACGTTTGAAAGGCATCCCTTTAAGCTTTGTGAACATCCATTCGGTAAGCAACATGATATTACTTTTTCCACGTTTTTGTCAATGAACTCTCTTAATTGCAGTGTGGGAGCTGCAGCGTAGCGGGCAGCACACTGCACCATCAAACAGGTCACCTCGGTTAGATTCCTGGCCATGGCTATTATCAGTGGCGAGTGATATCCGAGCCCGTCCTCACCCCTCCCCACTGACTTCACCAACCCGTATGGAGCAATGTGATGTATCGTCCAGCAAACCCCCATTATGGGAACAGAGTGGAGAGGCCTTCATCCAGCAGTAGATTAACAAAGGGCTGCTATACATTACTGCAATTAAATATATTATATCATGTGCATTGTTTCAAAGCTGGGCTGTTAAAGGAGATGGGGTAAATTGATACAATTTTTAATGTGATTATCTTTGCAAATGTCTAGTCCAGAATGTAAAATAGACATTAGCACAGCCAGCAGATAATACGAATCTACAAGATATGTAAGGATTGATTAAAACTTAAATAATTATTAAGACTGTTGGCAGTATGCACAAGTCAAAAACTACGAACTGAAATGATAGTGAATGTCCTTATAGGATATATTTTTTTACAGTAGAAAAAAATAAACAGGCATAGGCCCTTGTTCAGAACAGAAGGGTGAGTGGTTCTACTGCCCGCGGGTTTGGCACGATGTCCCATTGTTTCGCTCCACATGCTGGGAGCTTTTTCATGAGCTGAGCCATTACATCGGACAAGGTTCCGGACAACGCACGGCACGACCTGAAAACACATCGGAGAACCACACAGCACCACGTGGACAGGAGTGACCGACTCAGCATGCGCTCAGCTTGTGCAGCTTCACATGGCTTAACCTAGATTGTAAACAGCTTATTTAAATTAACAGTGGGAACTGCACCAGTTAACAGTTTTTCCTCATTTAGTATTTTTCAACATTAACTTGGAGCGTTTGATTTTTTTAAATATATTTTTCTAAGGGTGTGTTTATATTGAGCATCTACTGAAAGACAAAATACTCTTATTATTTTTAAATTATTTGTTTACTTTTATCAAAATAATCAGGGATTTTTTTCCAAGCCCCATAGTAAAAGAGCCATCTCACCCCACAAGTCATTGCCATTATACGGCACGTTAATGATTAATGTACCAAGTGTTATTTAAAGGTCGGTTCTTTTGTCAGAGTTAAAATTCATCGAGTTGATCTCAGCGTTTCCGGGAGCGCACTGACAATGTTCGCGTCTTGCAGTGTTCAAGGAGGGCCCTTCCTTGCCCCCAAGTCGGGCTCAGGCTTCACTCCTCCTCGTGCCACCCACCGAGTACTCTTACAGGCGCTCCATCGTCCACCTCGCTCGGAGCAGGCCCTTCTGCCTTCTCGTCGTCACCTACGGTACGACACACGCATGTTAACGGGGAGCCCGGCGGCGTGGTGTGGTGGGCATGGGGCCCCTTGCACGGGTGTCCCTCGCTTTATGCGGGTTGGGTTTGCGATTTCCCGCTGTATAATGTGGCAAACCTATTTCTACCCAAAATTCGCTATATTATGCGGTTTAAATTCACTCGCTTGCGGCTATGCGCTCGGACATGGGACAACATTCTGTCTGTACTGTGTGTGTACTGCGTGTGTACTGCGTGTGCACTGTGTGTGCACTGCATGTGCACTGTGTGTGTACTGTGTGTGTACTGCGTGTGTACTGCGTGTGCACTGTGTGTGTACTGCGTGTGCACTGTGTGTGTACTGCGTGTGTACTGCGTGTGCACTGTGTGTGTACTGCGTGTGCACTGTGTGTGTACTGCGTGTGTACTGTGTGTGTACTGTGTGTGTACTGTGTGTGTACTGCGTGTGTACTGCGTGTGCACTGCGTGTGTACTCTGTGTGTACTGTGTGTACTGTGTGTGTACTGCGTGTGTACTGTGTGTGTACTGCGTGTGTACTGCGTGTGTACTGTGTGTGCACTGCGTGTGCACTGCGTGTGTACTGTGTGTGCACTGTGTGTGTACTGCGTGTGCACTGTGTGTGTACTGTGTGTGTACTGTGTGTACTGCGTGTGCACTGCGTGTGTACTGCGTGTGCACTGTGTGTGTACTGTGTGTGTACTGCGTGTGTACTGTGTGTGCACTGCGTGTGTACTGTGTGTGTACTGTGTGTGTACTGCGTGTGTACTGTGTGTGTACTGCGTGTGCACTGCGTATGTACTGCGTGTGCACTGTGTGTGCACTGCGTGTGTACTGTGTGTGTACTGCGTGTGTACTGCGTGTGTACTGTGTGTGCACTGCGTGTGTACTGTGTGTGTACTGCGTGTGTACTGCGTGTGCACTGTGTGTGTACTGCGTGTGTACTGCGTGTGCACTGTGTGTGTACTGTGTGTGTACTGCGTGTGTACTGTGTGTGTACTGTGTGTGTACTGCGCGCGCTACTCAGCAGGCAGCTGTCTCATGCGGTTTCGCTTTGTGCGCACTTTTTTTGGGACGCATCTACTACTAGCGCATAAAGCGAGGGACGCCTGTACAAAGAATGAATTGGGCGACCCCCGATCTAACTTCGTCCCTCTACCGAGGCCGGCACCTGAGACCTTCCTGGTGCGGTTGTAAAGCCCGTGCACTCGATCGCTAGCCAATGCGACATTGCATTTTTATCCGCAGATGCGTGCACCTGTGTGCTCATGTCTGGGAACCCCCCCCCTCCCCCCCGTATCGTGACCTCGTTTGAAGGAGGAGGGCGCACACATGCCCAGGGTGGGGACCGCGCGGTCAATGTTGAACCCCGACCATAGGATCTGCGTTTGTCTGTCGTGTATTCTGCTCTGGTTCTCGCCCCCCCCTCCCCCTTGCGTATGAGGAAAGACTCTGACGCCCATCGCCCCCTGCAGCTATTGAAGACGGTTTGAATGTGTGGGAACAGATTCGCGTTGCTCGAGAATGTCCATTCTAGTCTGGCGTAAGCCGTGGCCGGGTTCATAACAAAGAGCACGGACCACTGTGAGATGGCGATTTATATATGTACAGTATTAAGTGCCAGCCATGTGATTTAGAGGGGGTGGAGGGCTTAGTCAAAATTCCTACGGTAGACGTTAAGTTATGTTCACTTTGTTATTGAAGACGATATGTAAATGAGTGATGGAAATTTTTATGTCTTGTCAGGCATAAACACAGGATCCTTCTACTCCGTGTCTACCCTCCTCAATCAGATGGTGATTCGTCACTACCCGGTGAGGTGACGGAGATTAATGCTGTCTTTGACAAACACATCACACTGTCTCACAACTTATCTAAAGGGTGAACAGTCATGATCATTATATTATGCTACAAAAAAATATACTTGCAGCTTGTTTATAATACAGATTTTTTTGGGTTAGATCGCGTAAATATATAAATGTATCGTTATACCCGCCTGATGAAGCTAGTTGTAATTACTGGCGAAACGTCGTACTCGGATTGTAAATGTTGTGGCTTGGCTCTCCAACACACCGGTGTGCTGTACTAGTGACGAATTGTCATCTAACCCAAAAAACCTGCATCATGGATGATATTGGTCGCGAAAGCCTACATGTTAAACTTGCAGCTTGTTATTTGCAGTCAGCTTTCAAATGTTTTTTTTATAACAGAAGACTACTCGTTGGTGATGTCACACCGTGTTAATGGGCTGCGTCGACATTTGTATTTTGGAATGTGTGCAGACTTCGCAATGGTTGAGTAACTTGTGTTCCTGCAATTGAGGTATCCAGCCATCTGTAGTCGCTGCTACCATATGCAATGAACAAAATCCGTGACTCTTCTATCCAGAGATTTAACGCATTGTCGCAATTTAGTCACAATTTTTGTCAAAAAGGAGTGCATCCTAGTGCCTATAGTGGCTGCATGGCTTAACGCTTACTAATTCCTTTCACCCCTCGAGACTGTCGGTTTCTGGCTCTCAGCATTCTCAACAGATCCACCGCCCACCTCCATGGGGGACCGTTCTCCCACAATGACGAAACATCTATAATGCCGCGATGATGATGATGATGTGGGCATGTGTGTCTCACAAGTGAGACAAAGTTCACTGACCAGCGTGTCTTTGGTTACATTTGTATTATTTTGGGTCACAAACATTGACCCTGTGCACCTTAACCCCCGTCATTGGCTATTCACAAATTACGTTGGTTTCCAGGATGAGGCAGTGGTATGATATATCATTACGATAATTTTTTCTAATTATCGTTATATTTCCTCTGGTGTAGGCCAATCGGTTTAAAAAAAACAATACATATATTGTCAGAGCATGTTTGTTTGCATGTTCACCACAAGCATGTGTGGTTAATGCAGACCTGATTCCTTAATGCTGGCAAAAAGGTCCCATGACGATCACTGACTCACAATGTGCACTGTATAAATATCTTTCTTTGCAAATTTGCAATAATTATCAGACGTGTATGGCAGGCGTGTGTTGGGTGAACATCAGTAGAAGAACTAAGTCATCTTTATTTTAAATGGACATACAGGAAAGCACCAAACAAAACTATAAAAATGTGAAATATATATACAACGCTACGGGAAACTGGTTTTGCAATAATTGTCATTGTGAAATTTAATATATCGTGAAACATATAACAGCAATCATTCTAATAAATGAAGAAAACTTGTAGTCAAATGTGGCATTGCAGTCATGAAATATATAGGCTGCATGTTATACTTATATACATGCTATTCAATAAGAAACTTAAAACACATTCTTGTGATTGCTGTTTGTAAGGAAAAAAAATGTAGTGCCTGTAATTATTTTTATATGCATTGTTAATGATTAACTTTTAAGGTTAGTAAATCGGCACTTGTGTTTGACATAAATACCACCACTTGTATGACCAAAGTGTTGGAGGTGAAAGGGTTGTGAATCGATACTGCATTTTTGAAGCTGCTATTAACCGTTTGCAATCGGGAGGTTATGTACATTTATGCAATCTACCGTAATGGTTTCCTGGTGTAAATCATCCATGTCAGGTTTATGAAGAACAGTGTAGTTGTAATTCTTTTGGCAAACACGTTAAGAATTATGCCAGTGAATCTGCTCCTTCTGATAAGCTCACAAAAGTATGTTTGCCTAGCGGGGTTATTTCATTTGGGAAGGCATGTAGCAACTTGTCCTTGCACAAAATAATTTCCCTTAAACAGCAGAGTTAAGAAGATATGACCACAATCCACTGTTTGTGAGGGAGAAAATGTTCTCCAGAGTGTGTTTCTAGTTGCTAAGATAACTGCCCTGGGAATGTATCCATGTGGTACAGGTTTAGATCATTCCCAAATTGTAAAGTAACATGTACAGTACTTGTCAATCCACTGCTAGATGAGGGCCTCTCCACACCGTGTCGGGTGCTGTTTGACCCTGTCAGTCAGTGCGGGTTGGTAAAAGGTGGGAAGCATAGAAGTATAGTACAACAGTGAAATTTGCTACATCTGTTGGCTACTGCCCACTAAGTAGCAACCACCTATGGCAACCTGGCCGTACATGGTGGTCACCTATGCAGGCACTATCCAGGATGATACCTGCTTAGCATCTGGAATCTAATGCATTCTGGGTGATTTGGCCATAGGCAAGGTAACATGTGCAAAATGTATTGCACGGCATTGCACATATGACGTTTACACTGGCATCAAATCGACATGATGGAGGAGGCATCGATGGTAGACTGACTTGCTTACGAGAGGCTCTTAACTTGAACTTTCTTACCCTCTGACGACAATGAATTCTTCTTGTTGCACACAGGGGAATGAGGTGGCTGCTGGCTGGATCGGTCTTACCATCGTGCTGGCGGGGATGCTGGGTTCCATCATCTGTGGCATTTGGTTGGACCGCACCAAGACCTTTAAGTAAGTGCCAATGTGGCTCACACACCTTTTTCCGCATTGGGCTTGCTGTTTGTATTGTACCTGCATATGTTCAATAAAGTATACACACATATTTGGATGCTGTGGTTTTGTGATAGCACACTGGGCTTGCAGTTAAGAGGTTGCCGATTCAATCTCCTGGTGTGGCAGTCGAAATATTGGGCAATATTCTTAAATCCCACGACCTCTGACCACCCAGCAGTATAAATGGATGCATCACAGTTAGTTGACTGGCAGGTAGCATCTGGTGGGGAAAATTCTCGGGACTCCTACCTCTTCTAGGATATCAGGCCAGCTTAGAAGAGTAGGCCAAAAAATACCCTGTGGGAAGGGCTCTTCAGCTTTCTGCCAGCAGTGGCGTGAGTCAGCACTTGTACGGGCTGCGAACTTACCCACTAAAGCGTATAAGCAAGGCTTGTAGTTTCTAGCAAGTCATTTGGACTGAGATAAATAAAGAATAAACGTGTTATTTCCAGAGGTGTATCATAGGTTATCCTTTCACACAGTGGCCACAGGACAAGGTGTGTCAGCTACGCATGCATTTTTCTAAGGCTATGACATATTTGAACCAAAACTACATTACATCTGCCAGAAGTACTTGAAGGCTTTATATGATAAGTGTACAGCTAACAGCATCAGTTCAGCTCATTTAACTAAATCTTAAAAGTTTTATTTTGCTTACATTTTTTTTCTCAATTCTATATTTCGTGCCTCTTCCAAAACGTCTGGCAAGCTTGGAAGAGTGACCTCAAGTTCCCTCTAGAGGGCCTCTCTTGAACTCCCACGAGTGGAGAATCCCTTCCGCCAGCAGAGGTGTGAGCAATCAATTGCAGCGCTGCACATTTACCTTTTTATGATTCGTGGTTCTTTACGATTCTCCACGATTGCGCTCTTTGAGGTTTTGTACAATATTGTGTTTTTTTTCACTGACAGCCCAAGGTGTGGAGAGAGGGTACTTTGCCAACAACATCTGGTAAACCAGCAGTTATTTTACAAGCCTAACTGCTGATGAGCCCCAGATGCATGAAATCGGTCCAGAGTTTGCATGCTGGATTAAATATTGTACTGTCAGCGTAAGTCTTGGACGGTCGTTATGCTGATGAGAACAGAAGTCAATTTTGTATTTAACTGTGGATAGGGCAACAGTTTATGTGATGTATTACCCACAATGCTTTACAGCGTGTAAGAGTAGGCCGCATTTATCCTCTTGAGCTGTTCGGGAGAACTGCCTTCAGTGGAGGGGGCACTGGTGTAAGGAACCTATTGCAGGCCTGTAAATTTTGTTTTACCTTACGCGTATATCAAACACGGCATTGTATACGGTTGACATGTAAGCGTCACGGCTTAAATCATACGACATGTTTTCATTCCTGCTGCGCGAACCACTGCTTCAATGATCCTTGTGTTTGTCTTACTTGCAGGCAGACAACGCTTACTGTCTACATCTTGTCTTTCGTCTTCATGGTGGTGTTCACATTCACACTGGACCTGGGCTACATGTGGTTGGTCTTTCTGACCGCTGGCCTGCTCGGGTAGGTGGGGTCTTGTATCCTCGTAGCGATCAGTCCAAGTCTTACATTCTAAGTGGCAGGGTGGTGCATTGGTGACGGTTGCACCTCGCACCAAAGACCTTTGTTCGATTCCCACTCGGGTGCCTTTCCGTGTGGCGTCTGTATGTTCTCTCCCTGTTTTGCATTGGTTACCTCCGGTTTCCACAGTTCCCTCCCGTAGCTAAAATCCATCCAGTGTAACTGGTATTGTCCAAAACGTCCCACTGCTGAAACATTCCTGCAAATTGCTGAATTTTGGCTCTCACACAGCAATGTCGCCCCCTCTTGCAAAACCTTGACAGGACCATCAAAAACTCCAAAAAGAGTTTTGAGGCTGAGTGAGGTTTTGCTGGGTAAACATGTCTTACAATAACATTACTAATTCGTTTTTGTATCCTTTATTTAACCAGAAAATGAAATAAGAAACTATTTGAGACCCATAAGACATTTGTTAATTGCAAGGGTGACCTGGGTTATGAAGTGCTTTTGTGAAATCTAGATTGAAAATTTGAAAATGCATTTCTTTAGAACTGCTTTTTGTGTTTAGTTTGTTGTCCTTCCCCGCACCTCCGATTAGCACAGTTGGCTACGTACGGTGAGAAAGAAGTTCAACATACATACATACATGCATGCTCATAAATCCTGTTCCCTGCTATAGATTGTTCATAATTAACATGTCCACTAAATTCACTGAAACTTAAACAAATAAGCGAGTGTTCATTGCCAATGTTTGCATAGCACATTTTCAGCAGGATAGCAGCAATATAATTACTGATGACAATCAGGCATGTAACAACATTGCTTCAATTATTAAAACCGGTCGTTCCACTTGTGATACATGCATCAAAATCGGTCATATTCAACTAAGTGCAAGTTGTAATTGGTGCATGTAGCCGCTGCGGCTACTCGAGGCGCTCCAGCGAGTGTTAAAACAAAGAATCGATTCTTGGATGAAATAAAGAGCCCAAATAATGACGATTCATCGAATTGAGTGGAGTGAATCGTTACACGCCTAATTGCAATAATGAGTGCATTGGTTTTTATATCACAAATTGTTTACAACATATACAGTTACTTAAAGCACCAATTCTAAAGGAGATTGTTTAAAAAAAATTACCAACCGATGACCTCTGGATCGCCAGTCCAGTGTGCTCACCGTGAGCACTGCGGCAGCATCTCCCGGCACGGCAGTTGCAGCAATGGGGGCAAGTTTCTCACATTCCCCCTTCCCCCCACCACCGCCCTCCCAGCGGTGTAAATGGATGCATCGCAGTTAGCCGATCAGCAGGTCGCTCGTGGTGAAAAAAAAAAAGCGTGGGTACTCCCAATTCTTCGAAGGCGTCTGGCGAACGTGGAAGAGTAGGCCAAAAAAAAAAATACCCGCGAGAGTGGCCGTTTATAGCCACTCCCGTCTAGTGGAGGCCTCCCACCAGCAGCGGCGTGGGCAAGCAATTTCACGGCTGCATGTTTACCTTTTCGTATTTGTACACACCGCACGTGCTTCTTGTACAGGTTTTTCATGACGGGCTACCTGCCTCTTGGTTTCGAGTTTGCCGCTGAGATCACGTATCCCGAGTCCGAGGGCACCTCCTCCGGGCTTCTCAACGCGTCTGCACAGGTGCGCGCGCATGGATCCCTCAAGCAGCTGTGCATCATCATCATCATCGTCGTCGTCATCATCGGCCATGCTCGTTCCACTGCTGGACACACTGTCCATATCACAACATGAAAATGCAGCGGTGAACAATGCTCCAGCTCCTTCTTCGACGTCTCTCATTTCACGTCATTGCAGAGTCCCACGAGACGTACAGTATTACCGCGAGTTGCGTTACGTTCAAGGGAGCAAAGTTTCCACACGAGGGGGGAGGATTGCCATTACTATGTAAAGATAAAAGTGCAGCCCTGGAATTTATTGCTTGCGTCTAACTAACGAACTAAACGATTTATATTTCACCGGGTAAGGCCCACTGAGCTATGTAGCCCTTTTTCAGAAGTGACCTGGCCACAAATGATAGCCCAATGACGTGGCTTATCATGTGGAACTTTGTAGCAGCTAAATATGTGTACTCTAAACGCATATTTCTAAATTTGGAGGGAAAAAACAGAGGATGCCGAGAAAAATCTAAGCGACCACGGGGAGAGACAAGCAAACTCCAAATATACAGCAGGCACCAGGGTCGGGATCAAACCCACGACCTCCTGTATACCAGGCGAGGTAGTTAACATCTCGCCACCGTGGCACACTTGCTGGTGCAAGAGCCTACGCTAGACGGCTTGATAACTGATTAATTCGATTTCAAAAAGTAATATAATGACCTTGTAAGGAGGAAATAAATCCTATGAAGGCATTTGGCATCGAGTTTTTTTCATATCCCTTCCAGAATCGGAAGTAAATGTCATTGACAAGCTACATGCCTTGCAATAGGTGTCTATTTGGTGTTTGAACATCTTAACACCTCCTGTATTCATGCCAGAAGGGGTAAAGTATTTTTTTATAATCTTGAGTGAGGAGCAGCAAAACGATTTAAACCACAACGCTCGTAAAGATATTTATTTTTCACAAGCTCGGTGACTCGGCATTCCCGATAATCCACTGACGGATATTTGTGAATGAACTGCACTCGCTTGAAGAGAGATGAGGCTGATTGTCAATGTATCGTGCAGATCTTTGGCCTAATCTTCACGCTGGTGCAAGGAAAGCTGACGACCTTGTACAGTCCGCTTGCAGGGAATATCTTTCTGTGTGCCTTCCTGCTTCTGGGGTCCATCCTCACTGGTGAGATCCATCCCCGCACCGCCCGAGTAGCACAGTAGGCTACGTACGGTGTCAAAGAAGTTCAACATACATACATACATTATAGAGCTTTGCCACTTCTACCTGCATATATATGGTTCAAAAGCATAATTTGTGAAAAATATAAACTATTAAACTGGTTTTTATTTCACCAGGTAAGACCCCCACTGAGCTGTATAGCTCGTTTTCAGAGACGATCTGGCCATAAATCATAGCTCAACGAATTTGCTTATGTGGAAATTCATAGCAGCCAAATACTCTAAATATGCGTTTATCTTAATACTCTAAATATGTGTTTATCTTAATGTGGAGCGAAAAACCAGAGGACCCGGAGAAATATCCACATGACCACAGGGAGAGAAACATACAAACTCCAAATATACAAACGTCAGGGTTGGGATTGAACCCACGACCTGCCGTATACCAGGCGAGGTAGTTAACATCTCACCACCGTGGTGCCCCCAAAGTGTGCAAATAATCCTGGAGAGATGTGAGCTTGAGGCGACATTGAGAGACAGGAAAAGGAACGCGTGCATTCGAGAGCATGCGCATGATAATGACATAATTTAGACGGTTTTGAAAATTAAGTTTGCTTGTGCAGTATACATCATGGTTTAGAAGGGTTCAGAGTCGTTGGTCTAGAATAATGTCGGAGTGGCAGTCAAGAAATGGAGCGATGAAATCTGTTCACGTTCGGGTGCTAGGTGTGTTGTTACATTGCAGGCGAGTTCGACGTGATGATGGCTTGAGGGGATTTTTTCAGACTCACAGCAAAATAATAATAATAACCAGTTGCTGTTTTGTACTTTTAAATAATCTCATCCTACAACTGTTATTTGACATTGTGCAGCCTTTAGAATTGATAGGAAACAATAGCTGTGTTGAACCAAGCTCATTTGTATCTACTGTACGTTAAGTACTTTTCATAAAAATATGCCCACGTAAAAAAATTCATCTGTGACCATTGTGTTTTGTATATACTGTATACGTAAAACCACAAACTTATCCGGTGCTAATTTGTGTGATCAAAACAAAATGTGCTTGTGGTTACCAGTCTGCCCTCACTCATCACCATCCCACACAGTGAATACAAACTAAATGAGGATCTTGTACCCGTCAGAAATTTTAAAACATTTGTCGAGAAAACTTCGTCAGAATGCCGTTGAAGCGCCAGGCAGCGCTGTGGTTGGCTTGCTTGGCTCGCATTCGACTCAAACCCATAATCCCTCAGGGGGGTAACGATAAAGTTAAAGGGGCCGTACCGGTGCATGCACGTGGGATCGACGCTGCGTGAAAACCATTTTCCGGCTGTCATTCAACCCCGCTCAAGTCGATGTCGCCTTCAGTAATTGTATTTGCTGGCGTTGCTGGCACGTCGTGCATGGTTTGAGGTGATTACCGCATCACGCGGCGCTTTCAGATACACTTCTGCGGCCGTCTGGAATGCTCTTCCAATATTAGGAAGCCACTGGAGCTATGCACTTTTAAATCAACTGGATTGAAAACTCATTTGTTTAGAACTGCTTCTTGTCTTTAGTATGTTGTCCTTTCCCCGCACCTCCGATTAGCACGTGACTGGCTACGTACGGTGCGTACATACATTCCCCTCCCCTCTCCCCCCCTCTTTGTCTTTATTGATAATTGAATACCACTTTGTGGGAGCTCCACAGCGTTCATGCTTATGGGTAGACCGAGCCCCATTGTGTGAGTGGTGAATTTTGTGCCACTGCCTGCCAATGGAGAATGCTTGTTTTGAGCACGGAAACACCTCTGACTTGTACCGTTCCCTGTTTTGTACGATTTGTTTCTGAAGCACTTATCAAGTCAGATCTACGGAGGCAAAGTGCGAATCTGGGTTTTGTGAAGGCGGAGGTAAAACACTTGCATTCTCATTTGTTGCAATTAAACGTTATTTTATTTCTGTTAATTCCCCCCCCCCGCCCCCTCCCCAATTATGTTTGCATTATGCTATCGGCATCGGGTCATGCGAAAAATAATTCTCCATTGGGATCTCTCGCACAGCAGTGTGTGCGACCCTTCGCGTTGAGTTAGAGCAGGGGTCGGAAACCTGCATGCTCCGAGTAACTCTTGAAGGACTGCTGCTTCGTGATGGTTACTTAGTAAGGAACGACCACCGCCGAGTATTCACAACGTGCATTGCGGCTCTTGAAATTTTGAGGGCTTTTTTTTTGTTACTGAATTCGAGAAAGTGGCTCCTCTGGTTGTTGTGGTTGCCAACCCCTGTGAGAGAGATAGTGTCTCGCGGAACGAATCACCACGGCTCTACCTCCAAGATCCCTTCCAGCGATCTGCTCCACACAATAGAGGGCAACACTTCCTGCCTGCTCTGCATGAGGTTCACCGATATTTTAGTTCTCAGAAACTCAATGTTGCATTATTAACCTTCAACTTGCTGCTACACGGGAGAACCCAGTTTGACCACGTGGCACCTTGAACTCAGAGCACCCTCAACAAACAACTCGCATTCATCAATTACGCTGCCTTGCAGGTGCGAAAGAAGTTCAACATTTTATCCTTAATTAAAAGGAAAAGTACTTTGACTTAAAAGCCACCTGGCCACCTCTATTGTTACCATTACACTATTGAGAACAAGTACTCTTTTAAAATAATAAAGTTTTTGGCTTGGTATGACTTTGGATTTCGGGTCACAAAATAAGGATCCGCTTAAGCGCAACGTGCACTCGTAATGGGCGTGTAATCGTTCATCAAGGTATTTATCAGTTCATAAAAATGAGTTAAAATGCTCACGATACACATCTAAACTTGTGCTATTGAGAATGTATAATTCAAAAATCGTATACGTTGTAGATAATTTTGTCATGTAAGTCCTGCGGCTACTAGAAGTTTTTTTACCGGAAGATACGAGTGTTTGAGTGTTCTTATGTACATCGATACCTTCATTCGGACACCCTTGGAAGTTCGTTATTTCTAACTTGTTTTTTTCCCTCCCATGTACAAACATGCACAATGATAAATGTGTGATCCGGGCTTCTGCAAGACGTTTGAAATATCCTTTAACCGTGGCACGTCACGGCACGGTACTTATCTATCTTTGCCATGTACTTGACCTGTATTGATGCGGTGACCCGTTTCCTTTGTGGTATTACTGGCAGACGATAACTGGGACTCCGGATGAAAAGCATTCCAACGGGCTCTCGCCAAACACCTACTTGCCCGTCTCCTGCAACGAAGGTTCCTCTATCTGAGCGCAGACCAGAGGAAGACCGGCGTGTGAACGTTTGGTGGCAAGCCTGCATTTTTATTCAGCGATAAAGTTGTGCTTGTGGGTTGATATATGTGAAAGCATCATGTGGTTTTACAATTCAATGGAAAGCTTTAATATCAAGTATTATGAGAGAAAAGAACACCCCAAGGTGCTTTTGAGATTCACTCAATACGGTTGGAGATGTTTGATTTTAAAGCAATCAGTTGAGCTGAATGAGCACAATTATTGGATAGAAGTTTTTTTTTTTTAATTTGTGACTTGCAGGTTTGTAGGTCGCACGTTCGGGCACCATGCATTCCCCTTTAGGTTTGTGCAAAGCCATTCCTGGGTCACACTTGACCTGGCAAAAAAAGCCTCCAATTGTAGTCCTCAGACATTCACACGAGAGCACAAGGAACCCCCCCCCCCCAGCTGTTCCTAGGTTTGTGCCTCCTGCTTAGTAGTGCAAATGACATAATTCCATATCTTGCGCTCAGTTAAGTAAATCCACTGTGAAAAAAAAATTATATCCCTTCTACGTGACTTTACTGTAAGAACCAAGAATATAAATCCACTGTATTATTTTTTTTAAGTACGGAAGCATTTTTTAAAAATTCCTTTAAACTTTTGAGTTGTATTAGTTGAAGGAATAACAAAAACGTTAATTCTACTGTACACTTACCACTTAGGCTTGTTCATATTGTTTAAAGCTGCAGATTTTTTTGTTCATTTTTAGCATACATTCCTCAATTCATAAATGTGCACTTTTTATCCTGGATAGTTGCTTGACACAGTGAGTAGGGGGATTGTTGCTTGACACAGTGAGTAGGAGGTAATTAGTTGCTTGACACAGTGAGTAGGGGGGGATTGTTGCTTGACACAGTGAGTAGAGGGATTGTTGCTTGACACAGTGAGTAGGGGGGGATTGTTGCTTGACACAGTGAGTAGAGGGATTGTTGCTTGACACACTGAGTAGGGGGATTGTTGCTAGACACAGTGAGTAGGGGGATTGTTACTTGACACAGTGAGTAGGGGGATTGTTACTTGACACAGTGAGTAGGGGGATTGTTGCTAGACACAGTGAGTAGGGGGATTGTTGCTAGACACAGTGAGTAGGGGGATTGTTGCTTGACACAGTGAGTAGGGGGATTGTTACTTGACACAGTGAGTAGGGGGATTGTTACTTGACACAGTGAGTAGGGGGATTGTTGCTTGACACAGTGAGTAGGTCGATTGTTACTTGACACAGTGAGTAGAGGGATTGTTACTTGACACAGTGAGTAGGGGGATTGTTACTTGACACAGTGAGTAGGGGGATTGTTACTTGACACAGTGAGTAGGGGGATTGTTACTTGACACAGTGAGTAGGGGGATTGTTACTTGACACAGTGAGTAGGGGGATTGTTGCTTGACACAGTGAGTAGGGGGATTGTTGCTTGACACAGTGAGTAGAGGGATTGTTACTTGACACAGTGAGTAGGGGGATTGTTGCTTGACACAGTGAGTAGGGGGATTGTTACTTGACACAGTGAGTAGGGGGATTGTTGCTTGACACAGTGAGTAGGGGGATAGTTATTTGACACAGTGAGTAGGCGGGATAGTTGCTTGACACAGTGAGTAGGGGGATAGTTATTTGACACAGTGAGTAGGGGGATTGTTGCATGACACAGTGAGTAGGGGGATTGTTGCTTGACACAGTGAGTAGGGGGATTGTTGCTAGACACAGTGAGTAGGGGATTGTTACTTGACACAGTGAGTAGAGAAGATTGTTACTTGACACAGTGAGTAGGGGGATTGTTGCTTGACACAGTGAGTAGGGGGATTGTTACTTGACACAGTGAGTAGGGGGATTGTTGCTTGACACAGTGAGTAGGGGGATTGTTATTTCACACAGTGAGTAGGGGGATTGTTGCTTGACACAGTGAGTAGGGGATTGTTACTTGACACAGTGAGTAGAGGGATTGTTGTTTGACACAGTGAGTAGAGGGATTGTTGCTTGACACAGTGAGTAGGGGGATTGTTGTTTGACACTGAGTAGGGAGATTGTTACTTGACACAGTGAGTAGAGGGATTGTTGCTTGACACAGTGAGTAGGGGGATTGTTGCTTGACACAGTGAGTAGGGGGATTGTTGCTAGACACAGTGAGTAGGGGGATTATTGCTTGACACAGTGAGTAGGGGGATTGTTACTTGACACAGTGAGTAGGGGGATTGTTGCTTGACACAGTGAGTAGGGGGATAGTTATTTGACACAGTGAGTAGGCGGGATAGTTGCTTGACACAGTGAGTAGGGGGATTGTTGCTAGACACATTGAGTAGGGGGATTGTTGCTAGACACAGTGAGTAGGGGGATTGTTGCTTGACACAGTGAGTAGGGGGATTGTTACTTGACACAGTGAGTAGGGGGATTGTTACTTGACACAGTGAGTAGGGGGATTGTTGCTTGACACAGTGAGTAGGGGGATTGTTGCTTGACACAGTGAGTAGAGGGATTGTTACTTGACACAGTGAGTAGGGGGATTGTTACTTGACACAGTGAGTAGGGGGATTGTTACTTGACACAGTGAGTAGGGGGATTGTTACTTGACACAGTGAGTAGGGGGATTGTTACTTGACACAGTGAGTAGGGGGATTGTTGCTTGACACAGTGAGTAGGGGGATTGTTGCTTGACACAGTGAGTAGAGGGATTGTTACTTGACACAGTGAGTAGGGGGATTGTTGCTTGACACAGTGAGTAGGGGGATTGTTACTTGACACAGTGAGTAGGGGGATTGTTGCTTGACACAGTGAGTAGGGGGATAGTTATTTGACACAGTGAGTAGGCGGGATAGTTGCTTGACACAGTGAGTAGGGGGATTGTTGCTAGACACATTGAGTAGGGGGATTGTTGCTTGACACAGTGAGTAGGGGATTGTTACTTGACACAGTGAGTAGAGGAGATTGTTACTTGACACAGTGAGTAGGGGGATTGTTGCTTGACACAGTGAGTAGGGGGATTGTTACTTGACACAGTGAGTAGGGGGATTGTTGCTTGACACAGTGAGTAGGGGGATTGTTACTTCACACAGTGAGTAGGGGGGGATTGTTGCTAGACACAGTGAGTAGGGGGATTGTTACTTCACACAGTGAGTAGGGGGATTGTTACTTCACACAGTGAGTAGGGGGATTGTTGCTAGACACAGTGAGTAGGGGGATTGTTGCTTGACACAGTGAGTAGGGGGATAGTTACTTGACACAGTGAGTAAAGGGATTGTTGTTTGACACAGTGAGTAGAGGGATTGTTGCTTGACACAGTGAGTAGGGGGATTGTTGTTTGACACAGTGAGTAGGGAGATTGTTACTTGACACAGTGAGTAGAGGGATTGTTGCTTGACACAGTGAGTAGGGGGATTGTTGCTTGACACAGTGAGTAGGGGGATTGTTGCTTGACACAGTGAGTAGGGGGATTGTTGCTTGACACAGTGAGTAGAGGGATTGTTACTTGACACAGTGAGTAGGGGGATTGTTGCTTGACACAGTGAGTAGGGGGATTGTTACTTGACACAGTGAGTAGGGGGATTGTTGCTTGACACAGTGAGTAGGGGGATAGTTATTTGACACAGTGAGTAGGCGGGATAGTTGCTTGACACAGTGAGTAGGGGGATTGTTGCTAGACACATTGAGTAGGGGGATTGTTGCTTGACACAGTGAGTAGAGGAGATTGTTACTTGACACAGTGAGTAGGGGGATTGTTGCTTGACACAGTGAGTAGGGGGATTGTTACTTGACACAGTGAGTAGGGGGATTGTTGCTTGACACAGTGAGTAGGGGGATTGTTACTTCACACAGTGAGTAGGGGGGGATTGTTGCTAGACACAGTGAGTAGGGGGATTGTTACTTCACACAGTGAGTAGGGGGATTGTTGCTAGACACAGTGAGTAGGGGGATTGTTGCTTGACACAGTGAGTAGGGGGATAGTTACTTGACACAGTGAGTAAAGGGATTGTTGTTTGACACAGTGAGTAGAGGGATTGTTGCTTGACACAGTGAGTAGGGGGATTGTTGTTTGACACAGTGAGTAGGGAGATTGTTACTTGACACAGTGAGTAGAGGGATTGTTGCTTGACACAGTGAGTAGGGGGATTGTTGCTTGACACAGTGAGTAGGGGGATTGTTGCTAGACACAGTGAGTAGGGGGATTGTTACTTGACACAGTGAGTAGAGGGATTGTTACTTGACACAGTGAGTAGAGGGATTGTTGCTTGACACAGTGAGTAGGGGGATTGTTGCTTGAAACAGTGAGTAGGGGGATTGTTGCCTGACACAGTGAGTAGGGAGATTGTTGCTTGACACAGTGAGTAGGGGGATTGTTGCTTGACACAGTGAGTAGGGGGATTGTTGCTAGACACAGTGAGTAGGGGGATTGTTGCTTGACACAGTGAGTAGGGAGATTGTTGCTTGACACAGTGAGTAGGGGGATTGTTGCTTGACACAGTGAGTAGGGGGATTGTTGCTTGACACAGTGAGTAGGGGGATTGTTGCTAGACACAGTGAGTAGGGGGATTGTTGCTAGACACAGTGAGTAGGGGGATTGTTACTTGACACAGTGAGTAGAGGGATTGTTACTTGACACAGTGAGTAGAGGGATTGTTGCTTGACACAGTGAGTAGGGGGATTGTTGCTTGACACAGTGAGTAGGGGGATTGTTGCCTGACACAGTGAGTAGGGAGATTGTTGCTTGACACAGTGAGTAGGGGGATTGTTGCTTGACACAGTGAGTAGGGGGATTGTTGCTAGACACAGTGAGTAGGGAGATTGTTGCTTGACACAGTGAGTAGGGGGATTGTTGCTAGACACAGTGAGTAGGGGGATTGTTGCTAGACACAGTGAGTAGGGGGATTGTTGCTAGACACAGTGAGTAGGGGGATGGTTACTTCACACAGTGAGTAGGGGGATTGTTACTTGACACAGTGAGTAGAGGGATTGTTGCTTGACACAGTGAGTAGGGGATTGTTGCTTGACACAGTGAGTAGGGGGATTGTTACTTGACACAGTGAGTAGGGAGATTGTTGCTTGACACAGTGAGTAGGGGATTGTTGCTGGACACAGTGAGTAGGGGGATTGTTACTTGACACAGTGAGTAGAGGGATTGTTACTTGACACAGTGAGTAGAGGGATTGTTGCTTGACACAGTGAGTAGGGGGATTGTTGCTTGACACAGTGAGTAGGGGGATTGTTGCCTGACACAGTGAGTAGGGAGATTGTTGCTTGACACAGTGAGTAGGGGGATTGTTGCTTGACACAGTGAGTAGGGGGATTGTTGCTAGACACAGTGAGTAGGGAGATTGTTGCTTGACACAGTGAGTAGGGGATTGTTACTTGACACAGTGAGTAGGGGGATTGTTGCCTGACACAGTGAGTAGGGGGGATTGTTGCTTGACACAGTGAGTAGGGGGATAATCGTTTAGTTGTAGGACCCACGAGCTTGCCTCGATTTTCCAAAGATTGACCAGATAGATGAAATCAGTTATGTGAGCATGAAGTTGACATGCACACCAACCGACATCCCGGCCTGTATGGATGATGGTGATTTCGAGTAACAAGTATAATTTTACATTGAGGTGGTTGAACCAGATACGAGTCGGGAGTAGTGGAGGGTATCGCTGTAATGCCTCCAAAATCTCGGCAAGCTGGTCTCAAGGAGTAGGAGCCCTGGTCTGTTACGCTGAAGTCCCAACTAGTTGCTGCAACAATGAAAATTATTGCCAATGAATGTAAAACCGTAAGCAACCCTGTACATCATGAAAATAACAACACTATAAAGTGTGACAAACACGTGTGAAATGTAGTCAAAATCAATACATTTACTTGTGTTTTTAATGCTAGATACAAATATAGTGAACAAAAA